AAAAAGAACACGTTTTCAATAATTTAAAAACGGACACTCAAAACACAAAACCCAAAATAATTCAAAACTAAAAACATAAAATTGAAATACGAAAAGAACAACCCCTAAGCGTTGAGAACACTCCAAATTAGTGGTCACAATGTTGTAGTACATGGATAGCTAGAGTACAAAGTACCGTGTGACACAACCTATCTATATAAACACTAAAAATGATGTACAATCAAACATAAAGGTTTGGAACGTAATTAACCGCAAATCCAGGTCCGATCTCCTGGTACAAGTTCTAGTATTGGTCTTAACAACTTGGTCATTCACAAGAGTACGTGCGCGAGGTATGGCGATGTTGATAGCCCATTGTTACACGTTTCATTTACATAATTACATTGCAAGTGTAAAGTGTCAAATTTTGTAATATAAAGATCAAATGTCGAACCCGTATGAGTTGAAATTCAATTTATTACTCCCACTCTCGAGTGCCGATTAAAAATTATTTCTATAATTTTGTAATGTTTACCATTTGAGCAATTTCACAATTAAAAAAATATATATACAATTAGTTTCGAAAAATATGATTAAATATCAAGTAGTGAATATCAACATGACATAAGTTACGTGTTTTCCTTCAAGAATAAATACTAATTTAAAATAATATGTTTTTTGAAATATGTGCTACGTCGAGAGCATGTTGTATTTTATTTTTGATTCTTCATGAGCAATATGCCAATATTCTTCTGAAATATTAAAAGTTATAATTTATGCTCTTCAGAAGCAAATAATATTCTTCAAAAATATTAATTATAATATTGTACTATTTCAGGAGCAACATGATAAATTATTATAGAAAAACATCTAAAAATATTTAATTACCAGATAGATATGATATGAATTTATATAGAAAAGTTAATTACCAAAAATATAATAGTAAAAAATCATCCAAACATTGACGTGAATTGACTTCATATATAGACGTGCAAATGGGACAAAGTAATCTTTATGCATATAATGAAATAATTGTTATGCCTACACAAGCCCATGAATTGACAAAATACTTGAATTGGTATTAGTAAACCATCCATTCATATAATGGATACATAAAAAGTAGGTATGAAACTGTATACATGCACACACGGCACGACATTATTATATTCAAAGATGCACGTCATTATTTAGAACACCATGAAAACTTTTAACTCTTTCACGCAAACATGTAAATAAAAAAATCATTATCCAACAATTTAAAAAAAAATCATTGACATGGAATGAAAATAATCATTCTCTTTGGAGGCTACGGATTATATATCAACCAAAATATTGATTCCCGCATTACCTTTCGTGAATTTATCTGTAATAAGAAGATGAATTGAAATTTCTTTTGAAACAGATGTGTCGTCCTCTTCTTTTTTTCCCTAGATAGTACTAAACTTGAATTACTAAAAATTATGTTATCGTGCTAATAACGTATTATGAAAAGAGAAATAATGAGAAGGGAGAATAAAAGTTAATAGACCTGTGTGTATTATAAAAAGAACAAAAACTCTATATTTACAGGAAATGATTAGGGATACATATGGTAATTATTTCTAAAACTGTAGAGGTACAATTGTAATTCACCAATAACTTATCATTTACAACAAATTTGAAATAATTTTCTTCAAACATATTTAGTGCTATTAATTCCCATTTACCAAATCTCCTCAATGATTTTAAATTTTTGACAAATGGTAAGTAATTCATTTCAAATAAGGCATATTGTTCATATAATTGCACNTCATTTCAAATAAGGCATATTGTTCATATAATTGCACGTGTGCATTTTCAATATTCATACACAAATGACATTTTCTGCGTCGCCATGCACAACCTAACTTGGTTGCAATTATTTTATGAGCCGTATCTGTTTTCATTATTCCCAAATTTTATTGGCACATGAGGTATGTAGGCTCGGTCTTACTCACCAAAATGTTGATACATTATATATCTAAGACTATTCAACTCATAAATACTTCAATCAGAAAAATACTTTACATCGAGCAAAATCTACTGTAAAAACACTAAGGCCCCGTTTGATACACAACATTGGAAAATGGAAAAAACTTTTGTAGTGTTTGATGAAGAAATTTTCCATGAAATTTTTTTTCACTTCCTCAATTTTCCTTGATTTTGGGGAAATTGTTTTCCCACCTTTTAGGTGCGTTTTTATTTTCCTACTTTTTTTTTTCTTTTGTAATTGGAAAAAATTTTAGAGACAATAGTAAAAAAAATTATCACTTTTATTGATAATTTCCATGCAAAACAAAGCCAAACAAATGGTATTCGATATGGTATTTTTTTTTTTAATCTTTTTTTTTTATTTGCAATTGGAACAAATGCTAAATTCAATGGTAAAAAAAATTATCACTTTAATGAACAATTTCTACAAAAAATAAAACCAAACTTTCAATATTTTTCAGGTGAAAAATTACACTAATCAAACACAATTAATTACAATTCCAAACAAAACAATTTATAGGCAATTCAATCCCCTGTAAAACATTTTATTTTCACCTATTTTCCACATTAGCAATCAAACACCCTAAGTCAATCATAATTCTATGAAGGTCATCGGCTCTCAAATTCGCCATTATGAGGTACACATGGAACTAGGGGTGGGCGTGGGTTGGGTTGGGTCGATTTTTGCCCCAACCCAAACCCAACCCAACATTGTCGNACACAACACAACCCAACCCAACCCAATTATGTGTTGGTCGGGTCGGGTTGGGTTGGTCGGTTTGAATCATAAATTTCAATTTTTTTAACATATGTTGGAATTAAATGAATTGAGATCCTAGTGGGAGAAGTAGTATAGCTTGGAAATTGTATGTGAACATTTCCCAATCTGATGTGAGACTAGAGACACGGCATCATAGCTAATATAGTAAGGACATAAAAAAAATATGAAAAGAACAAGAGTAGTGGGACGTAATTGAAAATCGACATTTATGTTAAATTTGATTATGAAATAAGGATTATCGAACGAAATGACTTGACAAGACAAATATGGACATAGTACAGTTTTAGATTAGAGATTGAACCAAACGCGAACGATGGATCGAATTGAAGAAATTCGAAGCCACTTCATTTAACGTACTTCATTTTTTGAAATGTCTTGTGATCATCCATAGTGATTCATACTCTATAATGTATTTTTTTATAATACAACGTGACTTTTTGACTTTATTGATTATAAAAAACTAGTAAAATAATTACTACTTCATCCCTAAATCTCACGCTGGTATTCCTTCTAGAAATTTTTAATTGAAATCCTCGATCAATTACGAAAGCTCCAGTTTTAATAATAAAGAATTGCTAACAAAAAACTAATTCTTAATACAATCTGAAAATAATTGAGAAAACTATTCGTCATTTTTTCAATTTAACGTCTTTTTTTTTTTTGGGGGTTTGGTTTAGGGTGCCAACCCGCGACCCGACCCGACCACCCAACCCGAAAACCACCCAAAAAATGCAAAAAACCGACCCAAACCGGTTGGTTTGAGTCGGTTCGGTCGGTTTCATCGGGTCGATCGGTTTTTTGCCCACCCCTACATGGAACCCATTCGAGAAGAATATGTAACGAGTCCAGACGTGAGCAATTCACAATCAATATTTGATAATAGACCAAAAGAATGACATAAAATATTCCCTTTCTTCATAAGTAATGGGTATCAATAAACATGAAGATTGACCACTAGATAGAAATAAAATAAACTTGCACTCCTGTGTTAATAACTAACAATCTTTATAGGAGCTGACAATAATTCAAGGTTATTTCCACTGGAAGAGTTTCAACGTTCAATCACTCTTGCCCACTTGAGCACCAATTTCTTGCAGGTAATGTTCTGCTTCTAAGGCTGCCATGCATCCTGCATAACAAGAGTAAAAACCCAAGTTAGAACGACAACACATAAGCAATAAGTTGAGAATATTTCCATCCATTCAGTCTAGCTAGGAGGTGATTCTATTTCTTGTTACGGAAGTTGCTGCAAGGGATACATAAAATCAGCACAAGCAATTAAAAAGAGTGAAAAGCCCAAGTTAGATCCAGTCAGAATAACAATGCATAAAACTAAGTTGAGAATATTTCAATCCATTTAGTCTGCAAAGTGATTCTATTTCTTGTTACAGAAGTTGCCGCAAGGGATGCATAAAATCAACACAAGCAATAATAAAAGGTTTAATTATACACAACACATATTGGTCTAATGGAATATCCTTCACTATTTCACCAAAATGGAATGAAATGATCTTGTTTTGCTCGCTAGTTGAAAAGCGATGACTTGAGCGACTATAAACGCAATCAAAGAAGGCTGTTAAGTCGAATGATTCAGAAAGTGATGAAATTATCACTAAAATATTATCTTCAAGGTGAGGTTGTCTGTGTCCAAGAAACGCATATAAATATGTAAAGTGAAGACTAGTTTAAAGATATCATTGTGAAGCACCAAAATTATAGAATCCAAGGAATTTGTTTCTGCAAGCTGGTGCAGTTTCACTTAGTTAAAATAAGAGATGAGAACATGAGCTAGAAATTTTGTAAAGGAAGATAAAAATTATAGAATTAAAGAACCATTTGTAGGAGGTAATCACTAATCACATATCATAACATAATTCCACAGACAATAATAAGTCCAAAAAAGCGCACTCCAACTAGAATAGGGAACAAGGTATCAGCAATAAGCTCTACATTATTTAAAACAAAACAAATTGGGACGCCAAACAACATTCCTAATAGCATAAATTTCCAAGTTTAAGACACAGAAACAGCCCCCCAACTGAAAGTCAGAAATTATGCCCGTGTTTGACAACCATTAAAACAAAACTATTTTTTTCTCACTCATTTTCAAACACAAACACACTCACAATAAAATATCCTACAGGTAAATCCAATATTTTTCCTACTATTTAGCCACACGTTCTCCAAAAAAAAAATTACTATTCCAAAACTCATTCCCCTCTATAAAAAAAAAAAAAACTCATTAAAATGGTCGTCAAACAGGGGCTATATAAGTACCTTTGATTACAAGTTCAGTGATTTATGAAGTACAAACTCTATCAAGTGAAATGGAATGCCTGCATTGGTAATATATAGATGGAAATCTACATTTTTTCTAGTTTCAATATCGAGAAAGAATTTGTAAAAAGCTACAGGTTGAACCTCTAGTAGGCAATCATTGGGTCAGATAGATATGAATTAGGTAGAGATGTCATCAGAATAGGGTAATCTGAACTTCACCCAAACCTAACTCAGGTGCAAACAAAATGCACCGACTGTTTTAAAAACTTCAGCCAAGCTCAGAGAAAAAAAAAGATCCAAACTCAATTGAGCTTTCTTTTATGACACTCAAAGCTCCGCTAAAGTAAGATACAAAAGTTTATGGTATTTTCACTAAATTTTAGCTTCTTATTGAGTAAATAAAACATAACTATCTAAAAAATAATAATAGGTATTCAGTAATTAATATCATAATTAAAAAAATAGATAAAAGCTTGTGAGTTGGCTCATGAGCAACCATGGATTGAGTATTTGAGGAGGCTTGAGCTCAACTGAAGCTACAAAGATGGGGTCAAGTTTGAGCTTACCTAGAAAATGTCAAAAACTATTCTTTCAGAATGACGCAAAACCCATAGTTATATAGGTCAATTTCAAATCTACGTGTTCAAATTCGAAAGTTTTTAATACTTTAACGGCATATTGAAGAGCTCTTTCTTAACATTTTTTTCCTAATAAAATGATAAAAACTATACTGCATCAAACAACGTTCAATAATAAAGAGATTAAGCAGCAAAATGATCCCACTGAAATCCAAAATCACCAGGGTATCCTGCTTTTTAAAATAAATAAATAAATAACGATTCATTGTATACCATGTTCTCTTATGAACCCAGAAAATAAAATTATGTTGGATTGCCCTGAACTCTTCAACATAATCCAAATCAATAGTTAACCTAGCAAATTTTACCTTCCAAAAAGTGGGGGCGGAATTGGAGGCTCGTAGGAAAATGAAGGCCTATGCAAGCATGATCTTCTGTTATTAAAACTAATACAAGTAGGTAGTGCATATACGAGTACTCAGCAGTTCTTACTAACCAATGAACAGTCAAAGGTAGGAATTTTGTAATCACGAAATATTTTGGTAACCGTAGTTTGAGCCTCATATTGAGCCATAAACATCCTAAGTCTTCAAGAGCCACAAGTTTTAGAAAGATAATTCTCATTCAATGTTTTTACAGTGAAGTCCTAGACTTGGTAGATCTCTTGGATCTCTCAACTCAACTACACATGAATTCTTAATAGATAAATAAAGACTAGGTAACTTAGGCATCTTCTTCAAAGCTTTCGTGAGTTTTATGGTGCAATCCAACCGAAGTTGTGCTGCACAACTGCCTAAGAACTATTCCTATGTTATTCTCTAATATTCAGGAAGTTACTTGGAGCCCAGACCTTCAAAGGTAGCCCAACATTCTCAGCAGGACCCTATTCTTTCCTTTAGAAACCTACCAAATGAAAAGTTTATTATATCTTCACAGACAAACAACTGCTCACGGGAACATGTTTATAGTAGTAAACATGCCCCTCATCAAGTTTCCTTTTTCCCCCTTTAAGTATGCTTGCCAACTTAAGAAATCTTGATCCTTATCCGTTAAATAATTCCCAACTATTACCCACTTCTACCTGTGCCCAGTTTCATAAGTAACAATTCTGTTAAAATGTGTTAATTAGCTGAGGGAAGCAACACCATCATTTGCTTCTTTTATTGATAATTTCCAAACACAATAATATTATTTGTACACGGTTCTATATACCCTAGTGATGAAAAAACTATGTTGCTTATGGTTATACGATTACAAATTTTTCATAGCTTCAAGCTTCTTCAAATGTACATTACAAATCAATCTAGAATAACAGTAGGCAACTATACAAGATCCCTAATGACAGCAGCTTAAACTAAACATCACAAATCATTCAAGACCATAACATAAACCCAAATGACCAAGTAACAAATATTTTAAAAAGCATCGAAAGTTTAAAGCATTTTTTACTAACCTGAGCCAGCAGCAGTAACAGCCTGCCTATACTTCTTATCCTGAACATCACCAGCAGCAAATACACCCTTGACGCTGGTCTGAGTGGTGCCAGGCTTCGTGATCACATACCCATCAGAATCCACCTCCAGCTGCCCGCCCAAAAACTTGGTTGCCGGCTCATGTCCAATCGCAAAAAACAAACCAGAAACGCTCAAATCAGTAACCTCCCCACTCACCAAATTCTTCACCTTCAAACCCCCCAAAGACCTCTCCCCGTACGCCTCTGTTACTGTAGAATTCCACAAGACTTCAATCTTCGGGTTTGACAAAGCCCTGTTCTGCATAATCTTCGAAGCCCTAAATTCATCTCTTCGGTGGATAATGTAAACCTTAGAACCATATTTGGTTAAAAAGGTGGCTTCTTCCATTGCAGAGTCCCCGCCACCAATGACAGCAAGAGGTTTGTTACGGAAGCTAGGAGCGGCACCGTCACAGACCGCGCAGGCAGAGATGCCACGATTCCAGAACTCCTCAGAACCGGGGAATCGGAGGCGTTTGGCAACGGCACCAGTAGCAATTATAACAGAATCAGCAAGAACGGTCCTATCATCGCTAAAGATTTTAAAGGGAGATGTAGAAAAGTCGACTTTAGAGACAGTTTCAGTGAAGATTTCGGTTTTGAACCGGACCGATTGAGCGCGAAATCGGTCCATAAGCTCTATACCGCCGATCCCGTCAGGGAAACCCGGAAAATTTTCAACTTCGGAGGTAGTAGTAAGCTGCCCGCCGGGGGCGATATTATTCGCCATCCAGCCCTCAAAGAGAATAGGTTTAAGCTCCGCACGGGCCGCATAGATGGCGGCGGTATGGGCAGCAGGGCCGCTTCCGACAATACACAGGCGGGTTTTTATAGTCTGTAGGTCGGCTTCCATGGTAGAGATTTTGGGACCAAGAGAAGCGGCGGATGTGTTGGTGGTGGTAGTGGTGGCGAGAGTAGCGATGCCAACGAGGTAGCGGGCTTTTCTGAGAACTTTTAAAAGCTTTGGGAAACAATTGTAGGTCATTCTTGGAGTTGAATTGAGCGGGTCGTTTGGGCGGGTATATCGTTCACGAAAATATTTGTTCCTTTTCAAATCACCCCACACTTACGGTACGTTAACAAGTAGTAAAATGAATTTTGAATCTAAGTATCGTTTCCACAGAAATTGATTTAGTCTTAATTCTAATTATTGTCACCTTAACTGAAACAATTAAAATTTATAATTTTATTTTTTATAAATTAAATAATCAACGTATAAAAACAAGACCTAAATTAATTGAAGTGAATGCAAGATTAAAATTTAATGCAAGTGTTGTAAAAATATATTGATGAAAAATGTACTAGGATTCCGAATCTCCTTATTATATTAATCATCTTTAACTCGAACCTTTTAATTTGACGACACGATTTAATTATGAAGATCAATATTCCTAATTTGTTTAACAATCTCTCTCGAGTATAATTAAACATATTTTTACACGTGATCCAACTATATTTCTATGATGGATACAAACATATAAAAATGTATTATTGGATTTTTGAATACTTAAAAATCACATAAAGTATAGCGATATATTTATATCACATATCGGACTCTACGACAATTGACACTATGTCTAACTTATTTTTCATCTCTCGAGGGTTAAAACAAGCAACAATATTCATACAGTTATTGATCAAGTAATTGTAGGGAAAATTAAATCCATGTCAATCATTCAATAATTAAAAACATGCATTGAATGTCAAAGAGTCAAAAATTCATAATACATGTTTCATCGTAAATCCTAGCACAAAATAATTTAGCCTAACATAATATTGAAATTAAACAAGAAAAAGTGGAACAACACCAACGAAAATTGACGAAACGTAATTAATTTTGGCTAAAATTCCCACTACCGCAGGTACTTCTTCCTTTTAGGCCCTGTTTGATGTGTAAAATTTTCCATGGAAGTTGGAAAATATTTTCCATTTTCTACTTTTTTGACGGTTTGATAACAAAATTTTTTAGGCAATTGATTTTCCACATTTGCCTCATTTTCCAGCTTTTCCTTGAATTTGATTTCCCACCTATTTGGTGGTTTTTTTTTTTTTTTTTT